CACTGAGCTGAACCCCTGGAAACCAGTTGCAGAGAAAGAGAAGAGCAATGAACAAAGGGGTCAAGACCCGGCTGATGAAACCCACAGAAACAGCTGACATGAACAAGGGGGAGCTCATGGATTCCAGAATGATGGCTGAGAGGTCAGCATGGGACTGATCCAGACCCCCTGAACGTGGGTGTCAGTGAGGAGGTCTCAGCATTCTTTGGGGACTCAGGCAATAGATCATTACTTATCCCTGGCATCCAAATGGCCTTTGGAAGCCCATACCGCATGGAGGGATGTGTCTCAGCCTGGACACATGGGTGAGGGGCTAGGCCCTGCCCTGGGACGATATCACAGACTTTGGAGATTACCAATGAAGGGCCTCATCCTCCCTGGAGGGTCCAGTAGGGATTGGGTGGGGGGTTAGGCGTGCGGGGGAGCAGGGGAGTGAGAGGGGGCTGGGATTGGCATGTGAAGCAAGGTTGTTTCTAATTTAAATAAAAAACAGATAAATAAAAAAGATATAAATGACAGACTGTCCCCTGAAATGTGGTTACCGACCATGATCTAGTCTCCAGGAAAACCAGCGCTTTTTGAATCATTCACACAAGCAAATAGTAATAGTACTGATAAAAACTCAGAATTTCAAAGGCTCACAAAAACTAGGTAACAGATACCAAACAATTGTGAACTAGGTAACAGACGTCAAACAATAACTGACCATAAAAGTTTATTAACCTGATCTTAGAAATAGGCAGTTAGCTACGGTTAGCTCTGAATGATTTGCTGATCTATTGTTGGATAAATGGTGTGTTTGTGCCTAGTAACGATGACGTCATTTGGATATTGCTTCACTGAACACAAGCCCTGAGATGGTATTTGTTTTCATTATAAAAAGCCTTGCTTGAGCACTGCAAAATACACTCAGACTCAAACTGACTCTGTGTGTGTTTCTGTTTGTCACTGCGGAATACTTACCCACCTAGTCTTTGAGATCCCTCATCCCAGGGACCCCCATACCTGGCTGGAGTGGTCCGTGGCACGCTTCCCTCCTCCTCTCTCCCGTTCCACACCCTTCCACCCCATATTCCCAATTTACTCACGAGTTCTTATCTTTTTCCCCTTCCCAGGCAGATCCATGTTTATCTCTCTTAGGGTCCTCTTTGTTACCTAGGTTCTCTGGGGTTGTGACCTGTAGGCTGGTTGTCCTTTGCTTTATGTCTAATACACACATATACTTTTATTTGGCTTAATCAGCATGGTTGTCAATAACTGTGGGTCATTTCACTTGGAGGCCCCAGAGAGATCACTCATGGCACACAGGACTCATATTCACTCTACGCCTTCCCCTTCCATCCAGGGAGAAGTTGCAAAGAAGGATCTCCCTGACACACATTCTAGGACCCCCACGCCTCTTCTGAGGCTGAAGAAGGTTAGAATGACTGTTCTCCCAGCAGTCATCCCAAAATAGATCGAGTCTTTCTGATACTCCGAGGAGGCAAATTTGTATATTGAATTCAGTTCTGGTTCTGGTGAAAGAGGAACGGGCCCGTTTTAGGAGCCTCCTTGAGATTAAGGAGAACAGACTCATCTGGGATCACTTGAATTGTTTGAGAAGGAAAAGTTCTGACAAAAAGCTCTTCCCTAGTCGTATTGCAGTTAGTTGGGACACCACAAGTGGGATGCTTGTTCTTCTGGTTTGGTCTTTCATTGGATACCTGGTTTTGGTTTTGCTAGACTGAATGGCTGACCAACTGTGTGTGTTATTGAATGCATACAGGACAAGTTTGGCCTAAGGAGTTAGTAAGATATTTTAAATTTTCCTGCTGGTGTTTGTGTTTCATGTTTAAAACCATGACCCTTCTCTGTTGTTGATTCTGAGGAAAGGGAAGTGGGCTACTCTCTTCATTCACTTTATTGACTGAGATTCTACCAGTTTCTTCAGATTCTGCCACTAGTTGGCACCATCTGCGAGCTATTGTTGGCTGTTTGTCTTTTTTTGCATTAAAGTCTCCTTTCATCTCTATGAAGGGAAATTTCCAGGCATACTAATCTGCTCCTGATGTGTGGGCACTTGTACATGTACACACACACACACACACACACACACACACACACACACACACACACACACACACCATTGTGCCTTGGATTCTCCCTGGCTCCAACAACAGGGGCTGTGGCAAGTCTTACATGGGGTCGATCTCTTTACTGTCAGTGCCAATGGGTCATTCATATTAATCTTTGACTTCAAGTCACATATATTTTATCCTAACATGGGGACCACCAACTCTAAACTCGCACCCTTTCAATGTGTGCTAAAGAGCTTCTCCCTAGTGCCTGGGGAAGAATATGGGAGTGAAGTCTCCAAAAGAAGGCTGCACCCTTACTGTGAAATTGACTGGCCCTCTTATGAAGTGGCGTGGCCACAAGTTCCCTGGACATTTGCAAAGGCAGTTTGCCTGAACTTTACAAGGACCCAGGCCACCCTGATCAGTTCTCTTATAGTGATCAATATGCAAAACCCACCTGCTTGGCTTAAGGCATGTGCTTGATAATCCTGTCAGTTTGGTTTCTAAAAAATCTTTATTACCATTCTCCCACTGCCTGTCCTGCCCCTTCCAGAGGCCAAAGACCTGTTTTTCCTTCCTCCTATAATTCACATTCATCTCTCTCATTTCCAAGTTCCCCATCTCCTCCTGATTAATTTTCCTTCTTCTAAATTCAAGGCCCTCTGTCCCATCCCACCACACTCTATCCACTTCTGCCCCTTACCCTCATCCTAAATTCCTTCATCTCCCCTTCTGGACCTATACCTGTTGTTTCCAATCTCCCTCTCCCTCTGTGACCATTTACTCTCCCCTCTGATGGAGCTACCCATTCCCTAACTTCCTCCACTTGCTTCCCTGCCCTTGGCTTGCTGCTTAGGAGCACGCCATCCTCTGAACCTGACTCAGGTCCTGGCCTGTTTTTCCATTGTGGCAGGCCCCCACCTCCTGGGGCAGGGGACAACCAAGTCGGAGGGTGTCATCCTTCCCTGATTTATGTTCCATTCTCTGCTTCAGGTCTGTGTAACTGAAAGATCCAGACAATTCTCAACAATTTTCAAATAAGCCCCAAGCCCTAACCATCCACTGTGTCCTCTGTACTCAATTCTCCACCCGTGTACTTAAGAGGAAGGGCATCATATTGAGACAAAGGCAATAAAGGCTCTTTGGACTCATCCACTGCTATGGATGCTTTAAAGCTACTCACTTTTGAGGCAGTCTTCTGATCCAAGTGCTCTGATTGGAACCCCAGGGATGGATCCCAGGCCCTAGGACACTTTTCACTGGTGTGTTATGACTGGAATTCAGAGTGCGGCTTGAAAGTCCAGAAATTTGCCTAAGACCACTACGGTCATATCACTAAGGGCCCAGAACAGTTTCCTGGGGACATTTCTTGAACAACTACAGGAAGCTTTCCAAATTCACACCCTTTTGACCCACTGCATCAGGAAAATGCTAGGACAGTAAATTTAGCTTTTGTCCTCCAATCAGCCCTGAATATGCACAGAAAAGTCTCAAAAGCTAGAGGACTGTGCAGGGATGAATAGCTCCCAGCTCATCAAAAAGGCCCGAAGTTTTTCAGTAACCAAGACACTGGAAGACAAAAACAAACCATCTTCCAGTGAGGGCTGACCTGGTTCATTGTCTCCTCAACTTAGGCCTGCATTATAATCGCTGTCTCCTGACCTTCAGCTTTTGCTCATTGGTATCCAAATAATGGGATCCTGGGGAAGTTCACACATCTAAAGCATCTAAGCTTCCACTGTCCAGACTCACCGTCTGTTTCAGAACAGAACAGGATTGGGACCCTAATTTAGTCACCAGAAACACATTTGGTTTAGATTGGGATTCTAGCTGGAAGCTTGGATTTACACTAGTCTCAGGAGACTTAAACCCTGTCACCCAGATGAAGCTGTGTGCTTGATGGAATCCTGTTCACAGTTGTCCATGCTCTACATATACCCATGTGCTCCCCTAACCCTATACACAGCAGAGCAGGGAGTACGGCAGCACCCATAGCTATATGCTTAAAACCTACAATTGTGAGCTTTGGACTCCAGTGCATTTGCTGGAATGTTGCCTGACACATAACATGCCACGTGCTTGATCACACTCTACATGTTACTTTATGCTGTGGGCTCGCCCTAACGTTACACTCAGAACAACATCCCAGAAAACCCTTAAGAGGGGCTGCTATACATCACTATCACACAAGCAGAATAATGGCCATCTTCATAAGGCCAGTTGTGTCTGCTTGAGAAAAAGTTTTGAGGCTGGGTTCGTTGACTGGACATTCATTCTCTCATAAGAGAGGGCAGGGAGATTTTTTTGGGCCCTCACCACTCCTAGACAATGACAATTGTAAGCAGTTCTCACCCTAATTGCATGTGACCTTGGGGCTTCGGGGAGTGCTTAGAGTATAAAAGTTAGGGAGTATTAGAGAAAAAGGACTCTATCTATGAACGCACGAGGAAGTCATTATCTATACTGGGTGAAGACTTTGCAGTGTAGCTAGCTGCTTTGGGGACCAACACTTATGTCAGTACCTCACTCACATCCTGTAAGTAAGCCTAATGAGCTCATTGGTTCCCCAGGGGGAGTTTGCCCTTATGCAGTGGGGGTTAGATGTTGCCTAGTCCCTAGTTGCCTTATCCTTTCTGCCTTGTGATTGACAAGAAATATACTCATTCTAAAACCAAAACTTACATTTTGTCTTTTGGTTTTTTTCCAGACAAGGTTCCTCGGTGTGGCCCTAAATGTCCTAGAGCTTACACTACAGACCAGGCTGGCCTTGAACACAGAGTCCACTGCCCTCTGCCTCCCAAGGGCTGGGATTAAAAATGTGTGCCATCATGCAATGACCCCAAACCTACATCTTTGTTCATAAAAGTTAATTAACATTATAAGAAAATTCACTAACAAAGATAAAGAGCTGAAGTTTTGATGATGCATATGAATTGCTAGAGCTCACATAACTATTTAGATTTTATTTGAAAATCAACAGGAATAGAGGTGCTGCACTTCAAAAAAGCTAATGATAAAACCAAAGAGTCAAATGTGAAAGACATGTTTCTTAGCTAAAACAAATTACATTTCTCAGGTTCAAGTTTTTTCTCAAGACTCATCAGAATAACATTTGTGAAGTATTATATTCAAGAAAAACTAAGTATGTTGGGACTTCTACTATTCCCTGTTGTTACAATGAAGTCCCTGTAATTTTTTTTTGCAACAGAGACATTTGCTTTTTCATTTCACTGCGGATGTTAGTAACTAGACTGCCGTCCTCCAAGTACTGCAACTCCTAAAATACAGAAAAGTAGTTTAGTCACAGAACAAGTTGTCATCACAGGTTCCAAAGTTTAAACTTACTTTTCAAACTTAAGAATATTTTCATAATTCAAATAATGACCATTTTCTATTCCATCTTCATAAAACCTTGTAATACGGAGCTGGAGAGATGGATCAATAGTTATGAGCACTGCGCTTCCAGAGGACCTGGGTTCAATTCCCAGCACCCACATGGCAGCTCACAACTGTCTGTAACAGGGGATCCAATACCCTCACATAGATACAGATGCAGGAAAAACACCAATGCCCATAAAATAAAATAAGTTGAAAAAACATTGTACTATGTAAACAACCAAATTCATACCATAAATAATGTGTGTGGGGGTGTGTGTATACAAGGAATGAAAGGTAATTATAGCATGAACAAAAGTAGCAGTGTGTGATTAATAGTTTACTGAGATGTTAGGGTATGATAGAACAAAAAAGCACAGCTCCCAGTCACCCTGTAGCTCAGTTGAGAGCATAAAGAACTGAACACTAACAAGTACAATATAGAATAGGTGGGCACAGTCTCCAAAGCGGGGTGGGGCTGGGATGCACATCAGTTGCTACATTGCATGCCTAGCATGAATGACCCTGGGTCTGATCCCTAGCACCACAGAAACCAAACTGTGGAACATGCTTGTAATCCTAGCACTAAAGAGGTGAAGGCAGAAGGATTAGGATTTGATGGTTATCCTCGGGTATTTAGGAAGATCAAGGCCAGCCTGAGTGAGTCACATAAGACCCTATCTTTAACAAGAAAGAACAAAAATATGTACAATAGAAACACTAGAAAAATACAAACGTTAAATGAGTAAATATGAAGACGTTGAGAATTTCTTAGAAGGCTCTCAAATATCAGGTTACAATTCACTTATTATAACTAACAGTCAAGTAAACCAAGATAATTAAATGATCTGTATAATAAGACTGTTTCCAAGTTACAGAAAACAAAAGTACATTTTTGTACTTTTTTTTATTACAGGAGCTTGTTGTGTAGCCCAAATGAGCCTCCAATTTCCCATCCTTCATTCTCAGGCTCCACACAACTGTCATCATTTGCCTGTGTCTGTGTTGCGATTTCACTATACTCAGTAAAAATTTTGGTTTAGTTTAACTAACAGGTTATTTTTTACTTACTGATTAGGGTGTATTATTATGTGAAGGCTGTAGAGAGACTTTTAAAAAAATCATAGCACAAAATAACTCACCCCATTTAATGAAAAAACATGTAAACAAAATAATTCAAACACCCCATAACTTGAATGGAAAGAATCTAATCTATTTTTAGCTGTAGTGTAAAAACTTGGGTGATTACAACTAGGTTGGAAAAAGAATGAGGCTTCAAAACTAAAGCAATTAAAAATACTCTAGGGAAAGAGTATAGAGAATGGAAGTACTTGTAACTGCTGAGCTGTCTAGACTCTCTTTCATGATTATAAATTGACATATAAAAATTTTGGTCAAAAATAATTTTGGTCACTGTATTTGTTCTAAAATCTAGTATGTCATAAAATTCTCCTATAATACATTTAAAAACAAAAAATTCAATAGTCTCAATTAAGCACTTCCTTATTTAACAAATACTGGGGATACAAGGACAAATGATAATGTCAAAATGATGTATAGACTTATTATTTACAGTTAAACAGAGAATAACTAAAGTATTAATATGTTACATATATGATACATAAGCACATTTCTGATAAGTCTCAAAATTTCCTGGTTTGAATATGTCCCTGCCAAAATCATGAGAGATATGCAAATTTGCTTATGACTTCAGTCACAATCAATTAATTCAGAATGAAAATAGTTAAAATTTAAAATACATTAAGAATGCATGTTGGGACTAGAAAGATGGCTCAACCATTAAAGGCTAGGCTCACAACCAATAAATAAGAGTTCAATTCCCAGCACCCTCACCTGTCTCTCTCCAGCCACTAAAAATGCATTGTGTTACAATTTACAACATACCTCTAAGAACACTTCATTTTCCTGCTTAAGTCCTTTCAGGTTGTAGTTCTGAAGCATTCTAGTTTTTTTAAAAGTCTTCTGTTGCTGATGGAAACTAGCCTACCAATGAAAATAGAAAACTGTGTAATAGCAAAAAAATGACAAATTACGCTTAAAAGGAATTGTTTTATAATAAATGTTGTCAATATTTTGTTTCGATATTTTTATCACAAAGTTTAAGCAGTTTGTGTTTTTACCACTAACCAGCCAAAAAATCCCCAAAGTCATGGATTAGGAATTTTTAAAGACATATTCTATATGCACAGAACAGTAAGAACTCATGATTTCCCTGCCTCAGCATCTCAAGTAGCTGGAAAAACAAGTATGCAGTTTGCACAACTGAGCAGCAATTCTTCATACAAAACACATACCTTATTCTAGTAGTGTCTACTCAGATGATTTTCCACTAAACTGTCCTTTCCGCTCCTTAAATTATTCTCAACCAAAGACTTTGTCCTCTACCCTACTTTGTCCACTTATTTAAATATTTCTACTTTGTCATCACTTATAACATAACTTTCTGTAGTATTGGTAATGGAAGGTATGTATTAAGTCAATGGCAGATAGTATTGTGAACCCTACTAAGTAGATTAAGTCTATATGAACTCATCTAATACTTCAACAACTGTAAGAAATTGATGCTCACCATTTTCTTTCAAAAATGGGAAAACTGAGATACAATGGTACATTGTCTGTTGTTTCAAGGCTAGCTATTACTGAAATCTGAATCAGATTCAAAGCATTATTCCTCCAGAATCTAAGTTACACTCAATATAGAAGCTCTCTCTCCACATATTATGAGCTCATTACTCTAACACTACTCCTTCAAGTCCAAAAAGTCATTAATCCTTCCTTCTTTACACTCTCGTCCCTGCTCCTGTTATCTCTAGTTTTCTCGTACCAGCCTTGAACTCCATAACCAATCATTAAATGCCATTTGCATATGCGCCTTGCTCGGTACTTACTCTCTCACATTTCCTTGGCTAAATCATGGGCTTGGAAACCTCAGCTCTAGCCAGTCTACCTGTTGGCAACACTTTCACCACCTGATGACTTTATCCAAAGAGACCTTTCAGTCTCTCGTCAGCCCATCTACCACCCACCTACGGCTGTGTATGTCCCGTGCCCATTTTCCCTATTTTTTTTATTTTTCCAGACAGGGTTTCTCCGTATTGTTCTGGAGGCTGTCCTGGAACTCGAGCTGCAGACCAGGCTGGCTTCGCACTCACAGAGATCCGCCTGCCTCTGCCTCCCAAGTGCTGGGATTAAAGGCATGACCTCCTATTTTTAAGGCTATGTTATACTTCTTCTTTACCAAGTTCAACTTCCTCAAATACACCATTCTTCAGAACTCAACAATTACCCCATTTCTTCCTCTTTTTATACATATTCCCTTTCTCTTAAAACAAGCAAGTAAACAAAAACTATCACGTTACACATCAGGCTATCAGTTTTTCCTATCCTGTCTTGTATTTATTTCTACGAGGTTTGCACTCACTTTTCCAATCTAATCACTCTCATTCAGGACACCAATGGTGAACTCACTATTGTCAAATCTACCTTATTTCACCTGTAAGTGGCATATTGTGAAAGTAATAGTCTCTTCTTTTAAAAGGCTTCTACTTGGAGTAGTTTAATTGCTACATAATAGACTACTTGTTCTCAATCTGCTTTGCTGAGTCACTCTCCCTAGAACCAATGTACTGAAAAACTCCAGGGAACTGCCCTTAGACTTCACTGACATCCTCAGCACTTTTAAAAGACAGGGTTTCTCTGTGTATCCCTGTCCTAGAACTCATTGTGTAGACCAGGCTGGCCTCACACTCAAGGGATCTGCTTCTACCTCCCGAGTGCTGGGATTAGGGGCATGTGCCACCACCTGGCCCTCAGTTACCTCTTGATGGTTTCATCAGATCTTCATGGCTTAAAAATCACTTAAGTGAATATTTCTCCACTTTGTGTCTTTAAAATATGACTTTCTCCTTAAATGCCTTTCCCCAATAGTGAGATTGATGACTACCTTATATGCTATCCTAGAGCCTTCATCCAGTAGCTGATGGAATCGGAGGCAGACACCCACAACTAAACACTGACCTGAACTCCGGGAATCCAGTTGCAGAGAGGGAGGTGTGATGAGCAAAGGAATTATAAGACCAGGCTGGAGAAACCCTCAGAACCAGCTGACCTGAACAAGGGGGAGCTCAGGGAACCCAGACTGATAGCTGGGAAACTGACCCAGACCCACTGAACATGGGTGTCAATTAGGAGGCCTGGGAAATCTATGGGACCTCTGGAAGTGGATCAGTATTATTCCTAGTATAGGAATGGACTATGGGAGCACACTCCTCATAGAGGGATACTCTCTCAGCCTAGACACATGGGGGCGGGCCTCGGCCCTGCTCCAAATGATATGACTATGACAGACTTTGAAGATCCCCTATGGAAGGACTTTCAGGGGAACAGAAAGGAGATGGGATAGGGGGCCCGTGGGGGGCACGGGAGGTGGGGAGACAGAGGGAACTAGGATTGACATGTAAAAGAAGCTTGCTTCTAGTTTAAATAAAACATCTGAAAAATGGCTTTCTCTTAAACTCCATTCTCTCATACTAGTGGCTTACTCAACTGCCCCCACTGAATGTCACATGCATTTCAAACTGAATATTCCATAACTGGTGTGACCATCCAACTCCCAAACTGTTTTGATATAATCAGGACCTCAAATGTAATATGTAAACGGTTTTCTAAAATGAAAAGGTGAAAAGAAACAGATGGAAAGTGTAATTAATGGCATAAGATATATGCATAGGGTTAGTTTTCATTAATATGGGAATGGAAAAGTAACACATATTTGACTGCTGAGAATAAATGATTTTGTGAACTGCTGATGGAGCTTTGCAAAGTGTTCTTGCCTACCTTGCAAAATGCCCTGGGTTAAGTCAAGAATTCAGAAGGAGATAATGGAAGAAGGGAAGGAAGGTAGTAAAGGGAATGGGAGGTAAAGGGCAGGGAAAGAAGGAGATGAACATGGAGAGGAGAGGAAGAAAAAGACACAAACCATGTTCTGGCTACAGTGATGAGTTCAGGACTGAGGAAATGTTCAAAACTAGGGCAATGATATTCCTGTACAAGAATATTCTGCCAGGGCTATTGAGAAAAGACTGATTCCGTTCACTGAAGCCAATAACATTGCAGGTAAGCCTAAAAAAGGAAGATTTACCACATGGCATTTAGTAGGTTCACTAAGATTCACAAACAACTCAGATAATACTACGTAATGCATTCCATACACCATTCAACTATGGATGAAACTAACCTACCCACAATTTCTTTACATAGGTAATCTTTCATTTATTCTTTTACACATTTCTATTGCTTGAAATTGCAAGAAGCTTAACTGATAGCAGAAGCCCAGTAACCCTCTTTGAGCAATGTATGTATCTCTATTTCTGTGGTCTATGGTTCACCAGGAACAAAGGCAAAGGCAGTAACAGATCACGGCACCCAGATCATCTTCATGTTCCTAATGCAAGGCTAGTTTCTCTATTTTAACAGGATCCTTAATAATAATTGATTAATTATAACAGCAAATGTGATACCAACCGTTAGTTTATCTTCTTGGTCTCCAAGTTGCTTTATATCGAAATCCCATTGCTTGAACAGAGTTATAATCTGCACAGTATAATCAATTCTAAACTCTCGCCTGTAAAACATAATAATGAATGTTACATTGCATATCAAGATGAGGAGAATATTCAAAGAAAAATTAAATTTCCATATTATGTACTATAAAAGGAGATAATAGCAGAGTAAATATTCTTGAGGGGAAATCAAAAAAATTAAGTTTATGTTGATACCAGAAGTATTTTTCCTAACTAATAAAAAGGTGTTCTCACATGCCTGTTTTATTGGATAGTAACAGCATGTAATCTATCTATATATGTTTATGTATATTATATCCCATATATGATGATACATGTATGATAAAATAATTTAAGTTTTAAAATCTGTTTTGCACTACCAAGACGAAAAGGAAATGATTAAATCTCTTAAAATACATAAACTGTTTATGTTGTTAATAAATTGATTTTTTCTACCTCATCAAGCATATCTATAAAGAATGAAGTTGTTATGATATCCACTTTTCACTGTCTTCCAGAATGAACAGAAATGAGCTTTTTAAAAAAATCTCAACTGTTATTTAAAAGGAGAAAAAACACATGATGTTCACAGGCTTCCCAGAAACATATCTCAATACAGAAAGTTAGTATGATAGGTTGAAGAAAAAGTAAGTAAAAAATTTTTCAACAGACTCCACTTAATGAATAATTAGCACCAATGTATACTATAAAATCATAAAAATGTGCTCTAAAGAAATGAAGATTCTTACATTTCATCTTCATGAAATTTCAAATGTTGTTTGATATTCTTCTTACAGTCTTGGGCAACACCTTTAATGTATGCCTCCATTCTTTTTTTCTTTTCAGTAACATCACTGCTAAGGTTATCTTCATTGAGAAAAAAATATTCATTAAAATTTAATGTTGAAGAAAATGATATTGCTTCCACATATGCAAGTAAACACAGAGGCAGGTAAAATTCATTCAACAAAACCACAATCATTAAAAATAGCATCAACAAAATACCTCAAGCATTTCACATTTTATAGCACTTAAGATTTTTGTTTTTCATACAAATATTCCAAATTAAAATAAAATTCTAAAATTGGAAACATTTATGTTCCTGAGCACTGGAAATGAGAAATACCTAACATTACTACAATTATAATCTTGCTGATGAAGATAATTTTTAAATCTGGAGATTATGAAAAAGACTAATAAATAAATAATAGAACAAGAAGAGACTAATTTTTCCTAAGGGAAAATCGTAAGGATAAACATTTTTTTTACTTTAAAAATTACTTTTCAATTGGAACTCATTATACAGCTGGGCAGTTGTGGTGCATGCCTTACTACCAGCCCTTGGGAGGCAGACGCAGTCATATCTTTGAGTTTAGGATTAGTATTGTCTATATAATGACTTCCAGACCAACTAGGGCTACGTAGTGAGACCCTGTCTCGAAATATTTTTAAATTAAGTCAAATTTTAAAAAGTTGAAGGCTAGCATTCAAAATGGATAATTAAATGAAGTAACAAAAACGTCCCTGTAACACACATTGAAATTTATTTTTACAAATAGAAAAGACCAAAGATTGAAAAAAATCTTAGTTTAGTAATTACCCAGAACATTTTTTTTGTTTTTTTGAGTCAGGGTTTCTCTGTAGCTTTGAAGCCTGTTCTATAACTCACTCTGTAGACCAGGCTGGCCTCAAACTCACAGAGATCCACCTGCCTCTGCCTCCAGAGTGCTGGGATTAAAGGCATGCAATGCCAGCACCTGGCATTACCAAAAATATTTTAAATACCGTTGTGAAACTTTCTTTCTTTTTGACACAGGGTTTCCCTGTGTAGCCATGGATGTCCTAGAACTCTCTTTGTAGACTATGCTGGCCTCGAACTCATAGAGATCTGCCTGCCTCTGCCTACCTAGTACAGGCATGCACCACCACTGCCTCGCATTTGTAAAGCTTTTCATAGGACGTTTTCACAGTTAATAAAATTTTAATACTTCAAATAATGTTTGCCAAAAACATGCCTTTCCACCATAATCACCGTCACAACCTATGATTAAACTAGTATTTTATGCTTTCAGTAGTTACAATAAATTTAGAAAACAAGTACTCTGATATCACCCAACTTTGGAAATCCTCCCAAAAAGATGTGACAGTATAAATAACCCCTGAAAATGAAGAACATGTTAAAGAATGTTGTCTCCTAAACTAGACAGTGACACCATGTCTCAGAAACTAACAGTGTGTGTGTGTGTGTGTACGTATGTGTATCTCACAACAATTAACATACATCACAAGTTTAAAAAGAAATGAGGTAATGAATTTGAAATACAGCAGGGGTGCCATACACTGGAAGGTTTGGAAGGAGGTAAGGGAAGGGAGAAGTGACATAATTATAATTGCAAAACCGTTCCTACATAAGAAATCAAATAAATGCGAGCACTGTCTCTTATAAAGCTCATCTGATTAAAGATCGCTCAATAGCCAGTAAAATTCTTTCATTTTTGATGCATCATTTATTGTCAAAAATGATACGGGCAGAACGATTTGGACTCAGTATGCTAAATATATAAATCATAAAAGAGGCTAGGATAGTCACGGTAGGTGGATGCCTGTGAGTTCGAGACCAGCAGTATCTACATAGTGAGATCGAGAATAGCTTGGGTTATGTACTATTGCAAGGGAAGCCCAACAGAGACCTCTACATAGACATTCTTCAAACTGAATAGAAAGTCTTTATTGCCAGCAAGCAGATGCATGGAGGACTTGCCCAGATCATGCAGCCCAAAGCCTTACATTTCTTAGCCTTTTATGCACAAAAATCATATTCTGGTTGGCACATTTCAGTTAGCAAGAAGTGGAACTGCAGAGCAAAACTGCTGGGGTAATATGCGTATCGATTTTCTACTCGGGAACTTTCCCAGCCACGTCCTGGAACCATTGCCTTAGCCTTTATGGCTATTTTGGCAGATGGGATGGCTAGTTTATGCCAACTTGACACAATGTAAATTCATCTGAGAAGAGGTAACCTCAATTAAGGGGATGCCTCTGTAAGATGGGGCGGTAGTGAAGCTTATAGGCTGTTTTCTTGATTAGTGATTGGTGAGGGAGGACCTAGATCACACCCCTGATCATGTGCTCCCGGGTTCTGTAAGAAAGCAGACTGAGGGGGCTGGAGAGATGGCTCAGAGGTTAACAGCACTGACTGCCCTTCCAGAGTTCAATTCCCAGCAACCACATGGTGGCTCACAACCATCTACAATTCAATCTGGTGCCCTCTTCTGGCATGTAGACAGAACACTGGATATGTAATAAATAAAAACAAACAAACAAATAAATAAAACAACAACAAAAAGACAGCAGACTGAGCAAGCCATGGGGAGCAAAGCAGTAAGCAGCACCCTCCACGGCCTCTGCATCAGCTCCTGCCTCCAGGTTCCTGCCCTGTTTGAGTTTCTGTCCTGACATCTTTTTATGATAAACAGAAATGTGGAAATGTAAGCCAAATAAATGCTTTCCTCCTTAAGTTGCTTTGGCCATTGGGTTTCATCACGGCAATAGCAACCCTGACTAAGACAGTGGGAATTTCTGCCAACTTGCTGGGTTTCAATGCCTGAATTGTGTTTTATCATGGCATCAATTGTGCTAAGGTATGGGGACTATTAAAGTCTGCAGGTCTTCTAAGTTCTGGATGCCTGTTAGAGAGAAGACACTGTTTCAAAAATAAGTCTGTAGGGAAAAAGTAATCCAGGAGGATTTGTATAGAATAGATGAAACACTGATATATGTAAAAAAGGTATATATATAATCTGTGAATCCAAAGAATTACAAAAAACTTGTCTCATCCATTTTACTTTCCATAATGCCATTTACATCACACATACACAAATGTACCAGTTTCACCTTTCCTATCAAGAAAAATATTTTCTTTTGGTTTTACGAGACAGGGTTTCTCTGTATTGTTTTGGAGGCTGTCGGTCCAGCCCAGCCTCGAACTCACAGAGATATGCCTGCCTCTGCCTCCCGAGTGCTGGGATTAAAGGCATGCACCACCACCGCCCGGCCAAAAAAATATTAACAAGAAAATCTCTGCACTAAGTAAAAAGGATTTGTCCAAAACCCTATCACAGAGAATAAAATATTAATTAACAATCCTACAGCACATTAAAAAATATCCAGCAACATATTTTAACACTATGTAGTTTTAAACAATTTTCTCTATATCAAAAGTGTACCTCCAATTTTCTCCATCTTATTCATTACTTCAGTTCTGTAAAGAAATTACATTTAAATAATTAAACCTGAGGTTTATATCAATGGTCAAGCATCATCCCTATGCACAAAGCAATATCAAAGCCGAGTCTTCTAATTAAGTGTAAATATGTAATATAAAATGCTTGGTTTCATGGAAATACTGTATGTAAAATAACATATCCAATACTTATTACATAAGCAAAGTAATTTTTTCCTATTCTTTTTTGCTTTTTTTAAAAAACAGGAATCCAGTAAGTCCAAGACGACCATGAACTAGTTATGTAGCTGAGAATGTCACTGAACTTCTCACCCCCTGCCTACATCTCCCCAGTGCTGGGATTACAGGTATGGAAATAATTTTTGAGCAGGCAAAAATTGTTTTAACATATTACCCTGGATCTTCATCCTTTCTTGTAGGAACCCATGGCATCCTGGGAATATCATATTCTAGACTTTTTTCTGCATTTAACAAGAATGAAAAACATTTTTATTGACAACAAAAGCAAAAAGTTAAATATGCTATTTTAGGCATTTTTAGTGAAATAGTAATGTTATCTGTAGCTTTTCAGGCATTTTCCAACATAATATTTTAAACAATAATATAAGTGCAATATTATTCTGAACATTAGATGAAATAACATCTAAGTTATTACCATTTTATAAGAACAGTTTTTCAAGCCCTTGTAGGGTAATATCACTGTAAGTTATTTACAATTTATTGATGTATGTGAAACGTACAGACAACATACTTTATGTATTCCTAGAATTTTTCTATAGGCTTGTGAAGATTAAGAGTAAAGAAAGTGTATGAAGACAGGAACCTTTTGCTCAGGTAGCTAGGTAAAACTCAAATGAACTGGGAAGTTAAGATGACGAGGAGGTAAGGGTGCAGAGCTTACTGCCAAGCCTGAAAGCCAGGTGACGAATCCCCGAGACACCCATGGTGGGAGGAGGACCCAACTCCTGTAAATTGTCCTCCGACAACACCCCTTCCCCCCCACACGAATAAATTCAACTATGGGGTGCCATCCAACTTAGAACTGGATATAGTGTACCTGTATGGGTTGAGCTTGCCGAATAGTCCAGTTCATTATCTTCTACTTCTATCACCTCCTCCACTTCCTCTCTTTCATTGTCAATGTCATAGTGATAGATTGCTACTATGTGCTCTTGGCTTTCCATTGGTAGCTTCGCAGATTTCTCAGGCTGCTTTTTTCAGAGGAAAATATATCTTAATATGTTGTCACTTAAAACAGAAAAACAGATCTCTCACCTGAATCCAAAACAAGCAACTTAAATAAACCACTAAAATGTAAAATATCCATTAAGAATGAAAGCAGTTGAATAAAAAGTTACCAGTTTCCATATATACTTAGGTCAGAAGGTAACAATTTGTAATTTCTGACTTTAAAAAGAAGGTGATTGGAGATGTGGCTCAGTAGTTAAGAGTGTACACTGTCTTTGCAGAGGACTTAAGCTTGTTTCCCAACACTCACATCAGGTGACTCACAGCTTCCTACAACACCAGCTCTAGGAGGGTGTAACATTTCTGGCCTCCACAAGCAACTGAACTCACACGCCCATACTTACTCACATCCAAACCAATATACCATAGTTGAAAATTAATTTTTTTATATTTTTGAGACAGGGTTTCTCTGTGTAGTCCTGACTGAACTGGAACTCACTTTGTACACCAGGCTGGCCTCAAACTCACAGAGATCTGTCTGCCTCTGCCTCCCTAGTGCTGGGATTAAAGACATTGGACGTTGCCACTGCCACCATCACCTGGCAACAATTAAAGTATTAAAAAGAAAACATTGTGATGGCTTTAACCCTGACTCCAAATGTGTTTGTACTTAGTTACTGGTCCCCTAACTGTCAGACTCGCAAATGTTTAAGGCTGGATCTGACCTAAAATGAATCTGTCGATACTATCTTTATAGATCACAGGCATGCCCCAAATCTGTTGACACCTAAACTCGGCATGGCTGGGGGTGCAGTTTGGTGGTACAGGGTAATGGTTACCATGCAATAAGGCCTGGGTTCAACTGACAAAACTACCAGAAAAAAATGACCCAGACATGGTGACTCCTGTCTCTCTTTAATCAGAGCTATTCACTCTGGAGGTTGAAAATGCCTAGCTCAGGTCCAGCCCAAGCCACATAGGGAGGTTACGGTCATTCCGGTTTACAGTGAGATCCTGTCTAAAAGATGGTCAGGCAAACCAGCAAAAAACCCAAGTGAACAAACAAGCAAAAAGATAGTGGTGCTCATGTATTTTTAGAATCCCAGGACTAAAAAGGCTAAGGTAGGAATGTTAGGAGGCCATCTGCAGATAAGAGCAATATCATGTCTCATAAACCATACGAAAAAAGGAGCTCAAAAATGGCTCACCAGTTACCTGCACTAAGCCAGTTGTTTTTAAAGGGGGGGGAATCAGTTCCCAAAACCCAGCAGTCAGCCACCAGCAACCATGCTCACAACCACCTGGAACCCTAACTCCAGCGAATGTAATGCCTCTCTGCAGACACACACACATAAGTATTAGTCTGCTTTTACACATAAGTATAAGCCTGCTATTTCTAATTCAATCTGGTTCATGGAAAAGTACTGTCCATACGCTCTAATAAAAATGAAGGTGAGGTTCTAACGGATGCAGGGCTGGCCTCAGAGAAAGTATACAAAGTCCCTGTCCCTCAATGCATCAGACTGAAGACATCATGTCTCTTGGCCTTACCTTGATGCCACCACTTCCACTGGGTCCCCTCACCTGCCCTGTGGGTTCCCTCCTTGCTCCAAGTTGCCGTCTCTGTAACTGGGGCAGAGACTTTGCAATCCTCTAAAGTTTCCTTCCTTCCACCTAGGCCCCTTACTCAGCAAGGGACATCACCTCCGTTTTTCCGACCTCGGCGAATTGGACCACGAGGTCTGCAGCCACCTCCGTTTCCCAGTCAGTGGCCTGGACGACAAGCTCCGTGGCTACCCCTGTTTCGAGGGCGAGGTCCCCGGCCTCCTCCTCCATTTTCCCGTCACCCCCCGAGCACGAGGTCCATGGCCTCCTCCTCCTCCATTTTCCCGTCACCCCCCGAGCACGAGGTCCCCGGCCTCCTCCTCCATTTTCCCATCACCCCCGAGCACGAGGTCCCCAGCCTCCTCCTCCATTTTCCCGTCACAACCCTCCAGGACGAGGTCCCCGGCCTCCTCCTCCATTTTCCTGTCACCACACTCCAGGACGAGGTCCCCGGCCTCCTCCTCCATTTTCCCGTCACCACCCTCCAGGACGAGGTCCCCGGCCTCCTCCTCCATTTTCTCGTCACTCCTGAGCACGAGGTCCCCGGCCTCCTCCTCCATTTTCCCGTCACCCCCGAGCACGAGGTCCCCGGCCTCCTCCTCCATTTTCCCGTCACCACACTCCAGGACTAGGTCCCCGGCCTCCTCCTCCATTTTCCCGTCACCCCCGAGCACGAGGTCCATGGCCTCCTCCTCCTCCATTTTCCCGTCACCCCCGGAGCACAAGGTCCCCAGCCTCCTCCTCCATTTTCCCATCACCCCCGAGCACGAAGTCCCCGGCCTCCTCCTCCATTTTCCTGTCACCACACTCCAGGACGAGGTCCCCGGCCTCCTCCTCCATTTTCCTGTCACCCCCGAGCACGAGGTCCATGGCCTCCTCCTCCTCCATTTTCCTGTCACCCCCCGAGCACAAGGTCCCCGGCCTCCTCCTCCATTTTCCCATCACCCCCGAGCACGAAGTCCCCGGCCTCCTCCTCCATTTTCCCGTCACCACACTCCAGGACCGTTTTCCCATCACCACACTCCAGGACGAGGTCCCCAGCCTCCTCCTCCATTTTCCCGTCACAACCCTCCAGGACGAGGTCCCCGGCCTCCTCCTCCATTTTCCTGTCACCACACTCCAGGACGAGGTCCCCGGCCTCCTCCTCCATTTTCCTGTCACCACCCTCCTGGACGAGGTCCCCGGCCTCCTCCTCCATTTTCCCGTCACCCCCGAGCACGAGGTCCATGGCCTCCTCCTCCTCCATTTTCCCGTCACCACCCTCCAGGACGAGGTCCATGGCCTCCTCCTCCATTTTCCCATCACCCCCGAGCACGAGGTCCCCGGCCTCCTCCTCCATTTTCCTGTCACCACCCTCCAGGACGAGGTCCCCGGCCTCCTCCTCCATTTTCCCGTCACCACACTCCAGGACGAGGTCCCCGGCCTCCTCCTCCATTTTCCCGTCACAACCCTCCAGGACGAGGTCCCCGGCCTCCTCCTCCATTTTCCTGTCACCACCCTCCTGGACGAGGTCCCCGGCCTCCTCCTCCATTTTCCCGTCACCCCCGAGCACGAGGTCCATGGCCTCCTCCTCCTCCATTTTCCCATCACCCCCGAGCACGAGGTACCCGGCCTCCTCCTCCATTGTGCCGTCACTGCCCTCCAGGACGAGTCCCGAAAGCGCCAGTGGGCGATTTTCCTCACAGGTAAAATGGCGCCCAGTCCCCGCCCTCCCTCGAGGGGATGCACTGCCCCCGCCTCACACTCGTCCCGTCCTCGTCACACTGCTCCCTCCTCACCCCTCCTCACACTCGTCCCTTCCTCCTGCCTAAACTAGACCCCCTTGGTAGAAGCTAGCTTACCCGTCTCTGAACAAGCGACAGCCCTCAACAACTCTGGCGTCCTTCCCACTCGAAACTTCTTCAGCAAAAACACAGCCGGAGTGGGAGGGAGGCGGGTCTCAAGCACGCTCCTTGATAACTGGCTATTGGTGTGCGCATGTGCGTTTGGTGCTGCGCATGGGCACTTTTGCGCATGGGCGTTATCTGTGTACATGGAAACCTCGCTGCGCAGTAACTCGCTGAAAAGCTTTTCTGGCTTTTTCTTCACAGCACTCCCACACACTGCTGAGCTGCTAAGAGGTTTGAGGCCTCTTGCTTTCCAATTTGTTAAGTTTATAGTACGGTTGCCCTTGCAGAGGACCAGAGTTCGGTTCCAAGAACATGGAGGTTTTTTCTTGTTTGTCCTTTGCTTTTCAATTCTGGCCCCAGGTAGCTGTGCAGACACAGACGCCTCCGTGCACATAAATAAGAATATATCATATTTTACTATTTCAAATTACAAGAAAATGAGTCAAATACGAAAAATGAACAGCCCCTCCCTTGAGAAGCAGCAATTTGTCAGCATTTACTGAAACATTAATGCACTATCTAAAACTTCCCTGGCTCTTTCACACTGCAACTTTCTCACCCATGCTAGCCTGTTAGTCCTCATTCAAAAGAAGGCTTCTCAAGAGCACGATCCTTCTTTTCTAGAAGAAGGCTCCTGTAGTCTTTCATTGGGACTGCGGATCAGCTCTGTTCCACCAACTGCTCTCAAAATACTACACAGACACTTCTTATTAACTATAAAACCTCGGCCTATAGCTTAGGCTTGTTTTTGGCTGGTTCTTACAACTTAAACTAACCATTTTTACTGGACAATGTGCTGCCCCGAGATTTGGCTCCACCCTCCTTCTTCACAGTGTCCTCCTGGTCTGGCTCTCCTGCCCAATCTCTTCCTGCCCATCTATAGGTCAGTCAGCTCTTTATTAACCAATGAGAGAAACATATTCACAGTGTACAAAGAATGTTCCACAGAATTTCCCCCTTTTTGCCTAAATGAAAAGGAATGTTTTAACTTTAACATAGTAAGATTATTTACAACAAAAACAAATAAGAATTCCAGATGCAAAATCCAGTCTAATTGTATTTAATAAAATTAGAGAATATAATCAGTTATCTTTGTGAGTCTAAAGTTTTATACTTCGTTTCCTTTTTTCAAAACTAAGAAAAAATTTAATTATAATTATTTAGCCTTTAACTCCAACAAAGACCCCAAATAGTGGAATCTTATCTAATAACAGGAATATCTGAAAGTCTGTACAGTCACCCAAAGTTCTTCTGTAACATTGAGGCATCCAAATTAGACCTACTGGTCTAGTATAACTAATGGACTTTTCTGGGATCAGGGAATTCTGAAGGACTGTCCTGCCTTGTCTTGGCCAAGTTTGGCAGTTGTTTTTCCTGTGTGTCCTCGGTTATTTCCCTCAGGTACTGGAGTTTGGTTGTATAGTAATATACTTGGCTTGGTGCCAAGTGATGGAAAAGTCTCTTTTCAAACCTTGGCTATTGAGATGGGTTTTTATGAAATTCTGAGGCCTTAAGCATATTTCCTATTAACAGTTGATCAATTTCATCACTGCTTTGTGCTAGAGGGCCTGGCAGACCGATATGGGATGATTCCTGTCCCTGACCGTGTCTTGTAACTGAATAAATAATGATGTCAATTCTGTGTCATCTGGTATAAATTCAGCAGTTTCAATGTGTAAAACACTCTTTCTGCATATTGTAAATTGGTAACAATGTTGAGAGGTTCTTTATGATCAATTTATACCAGGAGCATAGCCATTAGTTCTGACTTTTAGACAGAATTATAAGGACTTAGATCCACTTTACTTATATTTTCTGATTTGTAGCATGCCCTTCCTGATTTATTTGCATCAGTATATAATGTAGGGGTTGTAAGGATTCAGGCATTATGCTGGCTTGCCCCTGTCACCTAGCATAATGCATTCAGGCCGTACCCTGGTCAGCCCAGGGTTCCATGACTACTAGTGTGCACACAGGTGCAAAGAACCCCTTTCAAAGAAAAACTTCACCCACTTTCTCTCTCTTTTCCTGCTCTCTCTTTCTACTCTATTTCCTGCTCTCTTTCCCTCTCTCTTTCCCTTTTCCTATCTCCCTCTTCTCTTCTCTTCTTTCCTCTCTCTGACTCTGTGTCTCTTTTCTCTTTCCTTCCCCCTTTCCCTTTCTAATAAAACTTCGCACTAAGCTCTGTCTCCCTGGTGTTTGTCCCCTACCTCCGTTCACCCTTGCCTGCCATGGAATCCTCCAATGTCCCCCAAATGTATTATCATAACAGGGACTGTAGTTACTGGTGTTTCCTGTACAATGTGAGGAAGGATCCACTTAGTTCTCTTTATAAGTTGAGTTGTCTTGTTTTGGAATAATTGTTGAAAATTACTACAAGCTCTTTGAAAGGGTTTACTTTCTACCCATAATTTGTCAATTTCATCATTAGTGAAAGGTACTATAATTTCTACTGCATCTATTCCTGCTAAATGACAAAGTCTCAATTTTCCTTTTAGAATCAACTCAGAGATCACTTCCATATAAGTTTCTAGTTTTTACTTGATGTATGCTGTAAAAACATTCATTCTAAGATAATATCTTCTCTGTGAATTAATATTCCTCTATGGGAATGCGTAGAGGGTAATATGTCTACAATGCAGTTAAACTTTGGATCCACATGATCTACATGTGCAATCTGTAATTTCTCTGCCACCAATGCCAATTCTCTCTCAGCTTCAGCTGTTAATTCCCTGGGACTACAAGTCCTTGTCACCATCTGAGGTTTTGTTTAAATTATACAGTTGATCAGTTTTATCCCCAAAAATGTGCCATAGATGGGAAATGTCTCCAAGCAATCTCTGAAAGTAATTTGCACTTTTTGGAGTCTAATTTTTCATAACCTGTTTTATTGTCTACATAATAGAATCTCATCTTTGGATTTTTTTTCAGGAGAAATTTGTAATCCCCAACAAGGCAAAATTTTTACTTGGTCAAGTATGCTTTCTAAATTATCTGCATTTGAATAAGATAATAAAATGTCATCCATGTAACCGTGTACTATAGATTTGGGAAACTGCTTACATATTATTTCCATAAGTTGCAGGACAAAATATTGGCACATGGTGGGGTTATTTAACATTCCTTGTGGGAGAACTTTCCATTAATATCTTACAAGACTAAGAATTATGATAAGAAGTCACTATGAATGTAAATTTGTTCTGTTCTTGTCTCATATTGGTATACAAAAGAAACAAACCTTTAAATCAATAACTATGAGGGGCCATCATTTTGGCAATAGAGAAGTAAAGGAATTCCAGACTTTAGATAGCTCATTGGTTGTATCAGCTTTTTAACAGCTCTTAGATGTGTTACCATTCTCCATTTTCCTAACTTTTTAATAACAAATACAAATAGTTTAATAGTCCTCTCTGTCCCTATACTTTCAAGCTCTCTTGCTCTCTGTTTTTCCAATCCCTAAGAGTTGAACATTTACCTCCTGAAGAAGCCAACTTGGATACTACGATTTTTGTGATATAATTATTAGATCTGCACCTGTGTCCACCAGAACTTCAATGATAATATCACTTATTCATACATTTCATTTTGGTCTCTGCTTATCTATAGAAGTTTGCCAATATACTCACTTTGTGGTTTTTTTGTGGGAACAACAGATGTTGGCTGGAGGCCCACTTCCCCATCAGCCTGGGAGCAGGCAGCTGTAAGACAATGTTTACTAAAAGCAATACGGTGCCCGGAGCAACAAGTTCAGCTCGTGATAAGGGTTCTCCCATGGGTAACAAGCTAATCTTGACCTTTTCCAAAGACTAACTGCCTCTTCCTGACCCACCCACCGGCGCCTCTGGAGTCAGGGTATATATAACCAGCCAGGGTAGGAATAAAGGAGACCCTTCTTGAGGAGCCTTCTGAAAAGCCTTCTTGAAGTTTTCTTTGCACCACCGACAGGTCTCTGTATCATCAATCCCGACACCCTCGGCACATTTTCGGACACAGGCTGCGGAGCTGCATGGCAGTTTTTTTCCTGATTTTTTTCATTCTATCTGTTATAGCTCTTCTATCATCCAGAGCAGTATGATTTGTTACAATAGGTATTAGGCTCTTTAATTGTTCTGGGAAGGAGTTTCCACAGTGACAGGAATGGACTGAGTTGTCCTTGGTGTAGGGGTCTGTGAGAGAGCTCTCAGGGAGCTTCCTAATGACAAATTGTTGCCTTAATAATCTCTTGTTGATCTACCTTCTTTTGTCCAATGCATGCCTTGGCTACACCTTCTGCATAATTCAGAAGGGAGGGGTTTTCTGTTAGTATTACATTTGTAAGAAAGCATTGTTTCTAGAAATTCCCTGTTTATAATTCTTTTTAAAGTGACCTTGTCTGCCACAATTAAAACCCGCTCTTTATTGGGGGGTTAACATGCCACCCTGTTGGAGGAGGGGCTAGTGCCCATCCCTCCGTCTATAAATCCGATCTCTGATCGGTTCTGTGCCATGTGGCATCTGGCCTGCTGTTTGTCGGTTGTCTCTGTTATAATTATCTGTCCTTTGTCGTTGTTGGAAATTTTTTTAAAACAGGACAATCTCTAATTACCCCCTTAAGTTTGACTCTAGACTGTAGGAGGAAGTCTGTATGCCGCCATTAACCATGTGACTTCCTAGAGGCACATACAGATGAGGTAATAAAAGGGCGGTTTACCACACTGCTAACCACACCCACTTTAGGCATGACTAAAGACGTATACGGCCAGACGTAAAGACGTATACGTACGTAGGCGGTGAACTACGTCACTAGCCAGGCCCACTTTTGGGCATGGCTAGGGGGCGTTACGGGGGAAGGTATAAAAGACAGCACACAGGAAGTCTCGCTCTCTTTTCCCGGAGTTCGGCTTCCGGTTCGGCAGCGGGAAAACTGCTTGGCTCATCTGGGTTACTTGTTTGGTATCTTGTGAGTAATTTCTACAATAAATACTTAGTTATACTTTCAGTAATTGTGTGTCGCTTATCGTTACAGCGTCAATTGGAGCTACACTAGACCATTGGAATGATGTCTT